TGAATTTATTAAATCTAAATTAATATTAAATTCTTAATACATAAGTACATAAAAATATAATTTTTTCCTTACTGTTAAAAAAATTATGATAGTATGTATATCTACATGTTTTTTTTAAATTTATATTATTACATATAATTTCATTTTACTTTCATACAAGAAAAACATATATGTAGATATATATACACTATCATAATTTTTTTAACAGTATGGAAAAATTATATTTTTATATACTTATCTATATGTTTAAGAATTTAATATTAATTTAGATTTAATAAATTCAATGTAATTATTTTAATTTTGAAACTAAAAGTAAAGAAAAAATAAAATTCTCTAATGTCGATAAAATAATGCATATAGATTTTTTACGTAATGCATGTACATATTGTTTGATACGTAAAATAGATTGTGAACTTATAAAGTAAAATTCTCACAATTAATTTTGATAAGTAATAACAAGAAATTATTATTATTGGTAAAGTCTCTCTCTGTGATATGTAAGTAAAATATATTTTCTTCCTACGAATAAGATTGTGTTTCAATTAGTAGAAAAATTAAAAAGTGTAAAGATAATTGGAATTGGATTTTGTCTATTAAAACCAAGTTTTTTTTATTTGATTCTTCTTGCTCTGACTAAAGAAATCAATTTGCGCGTTGTTTATTCACAAAGCCCTGATTTGTGTCAGACTTGCAAGCATCGTTGTAACGTGAAGATACTTTATGACGTCATTCCTCCCACCTTGCAAAATGCTGCTATAGTCAATTGCATCGATTTCATCGTATGTGCCATGTGCTTGCAGAGACACCTCCATTTTGAGGGGGGATGGGTGACATATGTATTCCCAACCTTTTCATTTAATGCTTCGCTTTCGGTGAAATTTACAACTTAGGCAATTTTCTACGAACGTTGTAATTTAATGTTTTACGAACACGAAGATAAAGGCATATATAAAAAAGATATCTCTAAAAATATTTTATAGGCATTCGGACAAAAATCACGGGTGATATTGCGCTTTTGATATGCAGCTTCTTGAAAATTTTAATATCGTTTGGACTTCGGTCTCGCATCTCATGTTGTTACACAATTCTATTCTTAGATTTTACGGTAATTCTTTTTTTTCTTATTTTATTACACAGGAAATTTTTGAAGTAGGTACTCTTTTTTTTTTTAACTTTTCTTTATTTTATTTTCGATAAGGTTTACAAAGGGCATATTTAAATTATTGCGACTAGAGGAATAACGGAGAATTTGTTTTAGAAAATACTATAAAACAATTATACATTGAAACAATTATGTTGATATATTAAAAGATAAGAGAAATTGTAGTATAAGAGAGATAATTGTTCAGATCTCTGGTAATCATAATTATTTAACAAAAAGATGTAAAACATTAGAGAATATTAAGGATCTGAATGATTATCTCAACGTGAAAGAGAGCCGTGGTATAATCGCATAACCGTAATTAACATAATATACAGTTAACGACTCTGTGAGGTACGGTAGAAAAATATAAATTTATTCGACAACGCGTACATAACACGATTGGTATTTTGCACGTTCGGATCCGTGAATTATGCTCGAGAGAAGCGCCTTAAAAGACACACGTCCAATCGAGTTGTTAGCTTGAGTGTTTACCACTTCTTCAACGGTGCCGAATGTATGTATCCGCCATCGATGTATCCGCCAGTGCCGTGGGACGTTATGTACGTGCCGCTGTGTCCCAGAGCCGGTCCCAAGTTGCTGATTCCAACGTGTTCCAAGCCGCTGCTGAGAGCAAGATGTTCCGCACCGCTTCCAATACCGCTAGAAATACCGTGGCTGACGCCACTTGAGATGAGGCCGCCGTCCACATAGTGGCCGCTGCTAAAACCGGAGCCATATCCGCTACCCAGAGCCGCACCCGAGATGGGGTATCCCAGACTGCTGGATCCTAGACCGACGTATTCGTGTCCGGACGCGATTCCAGATGTGATGCCAACATTCGACGGTATGACGCCGACACCGTAGGTCGATGGCACGACGCCGACCGGCACATGCCTCGTGACAGAGTATGGGACGGGTACCGGGTGTGCTACCGGAACTGCCACCGGTTGCGGCACGCGTACCTCGACGGGATGTGCCACCGGGACCGGATAGGGACGGTCGACCTTTACGGGCACGTGACGAGTGACTGGAACGGGTACTGGTTGCGCTACTGGAACGGGATAGGGACGATCTACTTTGACGGGCACGGGGTGTGGGACGGGTACGTGCTTGGTGACTTCGACGGGGACTGGCTGCGGCACCGGGACCGGCACTTGGACCTCGCGGTGTACGGTGAGGCCGGTGATGCGCTCGGCTTTGGCGTGCGGCAACACGCTAACGCCACCGAGTCCGCTTAGCGCGCTGGCATGACCAGCACCGTAGATGACGGGATGATCGAGGTAATTTCCGTAAGAACCTGCGTATCCCAATCCGGAACCGTAGGCAGAAGCCAGGCTGTTACCTACGGCGACTCCTGAGAGTCCCGACCCGATTATCTTCGTGCCGAGTCCAGTCGAGTATCCTCCGAGACCTAGACCGTAGTTCGAGTAACCACTGCCTAGACCGTAGCTTGGGATACCGTTTAGACCGTAGCTCGAGATACCACTGCCTAAACCGTAGCCCGAGATACCGTTTAGACCGTAGCTCGAGATACCACTGCCTAAACCGTAGCCCGAGATACCACTGCCTAAACCATAGGTTGAGATACCACTGCCTAGACCGTAGCTTGAGATACCGCCTAGACCGTATCCGTAGCCGAGTTCGTGACCCAGACTCCGTTTGTCATGTTTGGTTTTCGGGTCTTCCTTCTTCTGAGCCGCCAACACGGCGGTTGCCAACAGCACAATCTGCACATTTTTGAGAAAAAATAATACATTAATACAATTCTGAAAGTATTATTTTAAAACACTGTTTGAAATCAAGGGTGGAATCCGAATTGAAAATTCTAATTTAACAGACTTTACATTGTTGTTAAATTTAATTATTAATTTAGTTTAATTTAATTTACATATAATTATTATATGTTAATTCTGTTGATTAATTAATGTAATATAATTACGTAATCTAATATATTTATAGCTATATATAGCTCTTTTAAAGTATATGCATATTAAGGGTATAATTTTAATGTAATGACTGAACAATTTCATTTATAAGGATAAAACTCTATAGCGATTCTGAAACAATTAAATAACGATTGAAGATATTATTAAAGAGGAGATAGTGAATAATCGCCGTTATGCACCGGTCTGCGCGTATATGCATAAGAAATTCCTTCCACTTACCGCGAAGCACCTCATTGTATCTCGTGGTAGTTTTGGATCGAGTGTGCCATCAGCCCGGTCAGTCGGCGTTTTTATACAAAATGCTCGGTTCGCGATGTATGCGATTACTTTCACTGAAACGACAAGGAACACGCCCTGCTCCGCGATCCGCGCACCTCCCAATTATTTTTTCTGCGACTGGTCGGTCGGTTGGTCCATCCGATTCTCCGATCTGACGTAACGGCCAGAGCCGCGCCGTGGCAAACTTGCTCTCGAAACGGGTCCGATTCCGCATTATTACGCGGCTGTTACGTGCGTAATTGTCTACACCGGCGTGTATATCGGTATAACGCCAATCCGCTTCCTCGTTTAATTTCTTTTTGCAAAGGGCTAACTTTTACCAGTCCGTTGCGCGATACGTCGCTCGCGGCAAGTGCCCAAAATCAGGATCAATCGATGCGGTAACGTAACGACGGATCTGCTAGCAAAAGAGTTTGGAACAATTTTTTTTACAATTTTTTGCATGGGTACACACATGTTACACAATAATGGTATTGATGACCATCGCTTTTCCTCCTTTGTAAATTTTTTTATATCATGAAATGATAGCAGTCCTAATTGTATTAAGCATAATTCAATATTTCTCATTTTAAGGATTGGATTTAAAACATTTTATTTAAGATTCTAAAAGAATTTTGATTTAAAAGAGGAGAACTGTTTCTATTATTTTTTAATCTCGTCATTGTTCATAGAGAGAATCGTTTTTTAAATAATTAAATTAATAACTTAAATGATGATTTACTTAAATTACGATTAAATAGTATATTGAAGTGGTGATTTTTTTTTTACCAATTTCAAAATTTTATAACGTTTTACATATGTATAAAAACGACACCTGATTTACATATTTTCGAGGTCCTAACCATTTCTTTTTAAATTATTTTTGTCACAAAGTCGGCATGTATATGTATATTGTGCCGACACGTGACAAATTCCAGATATTATCCATTTTAATAATGATTATTTTACGATTCGACGGAATATAAATTACTCGATTCTCAGCGTGCAACCGGAACTCGGAGAACATGTTGTCGGAGTCTTCTATTCTAAAATATTTATTGATGCTGTAGTCTACAAGCGTTTATTATCATGTTGCGACGACGGACGGAAAATATCATAGGCAAAAATCGAGTTACCCTTTAAAGAGGAATTAATAGTTTCCGCTGGTTGTTTTTCGCGTAGCTCGCATTGGCGAATAAAAATTTACAATGTCTAATTTTCACTTGACAGAGATCGACGCGACTGCATTTCTATTTTGCAAAACGCCGCGGTTGCGAAATAGCTAGCTGTTTTTAAAAGTCACTCACGGTATTTTCTCATATTGCACAATTCGGTATAAGCCATTTCCGTTCCATAGCACGACATAAATCTACACGTCGCGGAATAATTTGCAGCTCGAAGTTCCGTAACCGTGTGGATTTTCATCTTAAGAATTGTCTCGACGAAGATGCATGTCCTGCCGCATGCAACATGCCGATTTTCAGAAAGTGCTTTATATTTATGATGCGCATTTCCGCGAAGATGCGCTTTATTTAAATTGTATATACGACGGGTGTGCCGCAAATGTAAATTGTATCGGAACGTGGGCCATCAAGCGCGGGGTTCGCCGCCACGTTTGCACGAAAGACGAACAGGAATATTCGACATTTGCGGATCGTTTTTGCTCGCGCGTGGCATTCCGTAAAAGGAAACAATTAAAGACATCCGAGACCTCGCCCGACGAAGATATGTTATTTTTTCCGTACGCTGAGTGCAGACGATGAAGCAAAAATGCCAGCTTAGGGATCGGCTGTGTCTAGGCTGTGTCGAAATAAAATACTGGTTTAACACGAGGGCGAATTTATTTTAATTTATCGAGAAAACGATATATCACTTGACTTGGTTGTAAATAAACGAAATAAACGAATAAACGAATAAACTGTTAATGCTAATGATGTTTGCCGCATTAACAAATTTTTTTTCGTTTTTTATTGTTACTTGGCGCGATTTGAATAGCGCATTAATTCTCCTCATTAATTTTTTATTAGAATCACATCAGTACTGATCGCGATTAGTTTGTAGTTTGAGAAATTGCAAAGAAATAAACGATATCCTGCGAATAGCGGCAACGAAATATATTATTCCGATTTGAGCACTTTCATACGCATAATCCCCTCCTCTTCGCGCGGCGATAAAATTTCCACGTAGCCTACTTTGGATGCTGCAAACCGCAAGGTGGAAGACGAAGAGAAGAGAAACGTGTTACTACGGAAAAATATGAGGACGATAAAATAGGGGCGTCCTATTCCTGTGCTGTTTCTTCTCCCGAATCGCCCCCTGATTTCCTACGGGAATCCCGGCGAAGTTTATGACACCGACCGATCGTCAATAGCTCAATCGATTTTGCTGGTAGCCCTTTAACGCGGGTTATTGCTCTTTCATTTTATCTCGATAGTCTCGATTGTCTTAAGTAAGCTCGTTATCTAAGAGTAGCGAAAGCGAGGTACTTATAAGGTATTACTTTCGTCAAAAGACTTTTAATAATTTATTCCGGAGAAAATAATTTCTTCCATTAAGTATAAACCCTGCTGCTTTGAGCAACATGGCTGCGAACCATTAGCAATAATTGAATTACAACGATAACTTTTGAAAGAGATGACGGTTTTATATAAAATAATTAAGAAGAAAGAAATCTTGCAGTCAGGTCGGACGATATTTAAAATACATTTAAGTTACTTTAGTATACTAAAGTAAATTGAAAGAATAAATCGAAGTTTGTGTATTGAGCGTTATTAATTATTTTAACCGTAAATAAGAAATTGTTGGAATTATATTTACGATACGTTATTTGAGGCTAGTCTTTTTTATTCGCGTTTTAGATAGTTGACTACTTGAAAATGCAATCACATGTGTAAAGACACTATTCATTTTAACACACTATTTGGCAGCATTATATTAAAAAAAAAATGCAAATATGCATGACTTATTGTTAACGCAGTGATTTTATCTATCTTGCTGCACTTCTCGTATTTGCTATTCACATGTGTACATACTTAAAACATTCTCGAATATAAAATATTGAATAAGTTACAATTCTAATATACATAATTTACAATATCTAGTTTACAATATCTAATATGCATAATAGATATTATACGTATACACTAGCTAGACATTAGTCTCGACTCGTTTTTAATTGAATAAAAAGTTATTCATGCATTGCTTGCTAATTTTTTGCACGAAGATTGAAATGCAGGAAACAGACATGATGTTGTAGGGTTGAAAGGGGTTGAATCACTCTTTCAGCATCAGTCGATCGAACGGAATCGTGGATGCATTAACAATAGGTGTACAACGTAATAGTCGATGCTCATGAATATGAAAATTTCTCGCCGCTGGCCATTTTGATTAACAATCATGATTGAACAAGTTTCGGCATTACGACTGCGCGATACAACGCCGGCAAGAGCGATAGTATTCGATTCACGCATTCTCGTTGAATCGCGAGACGAATAATCCGTGATCGATCGATCGTGTAAAATGGTGGTGCTTGAATATCACAGGAGACCCATAGTCGTGATTCTCCACAGTATTTTCGATCGCGCACGTAGAAGATTGAACAGTGCAGATCATTCTCAAGGGCGTGATATTCTGAAAATTTAAAAACGTTACGCGAGTAGAGTAATGATGAATCGACATAATCCACGTAAAATAAAGAAGACAGTTCGGAGTTATTATTCATTTTTCTTTAACTTTTTCTTTGTATATAAATAATTGACTGTTTTTTCTTTTTTTCTTCTGGTTGATTTTGAAAAGCTGTCACCGAAAAAAGTTATTGCGATTTTACACACGTATTTTATTTATTTGATGGCATAAACCTTAATACAAATTTATTTTTTATACGTTACAAGTGCACTGAATTGCACGAGCGATTATCGTAAATCTGTCGCGACGGTCGCTTTACAATAAAGAGAAATTCCATCGAAGAAAGAGGCAAACGTTTTCTCGAGGAAAACGGGAAGCAGAAAAATACCATCTCTCGCAGAAAAGATTGACGAGAGTCTATACCGGTTGTGTCACTGTGCAAGCTCGATCTTTCTGTTCCGCTCCCGCGTATTCAAAAGTAAAAAGATTGGAAGGTAGGTGTTACCTAACGGATGCAACTGAGCCGGTTTGTTACCTCGTATCGTTCACCTCTTTCTTCAGAGAAGTGTAATGAGTCATTTCGAAATTGCAACTGTAAGCGGTTTCTGTTACGATGTTACGTTCGAAGTTCATGGTATGAATTACGCAAATAAATCTGCGTGAAATCATGCGACGAGTTCGTCGTTCGCTTTATCGCTCAGTTGGTAGTTATCGAAAAAGCACGATTAATAATGGCATATGAGAGTACAGTGTCATAATATTCCAGTAAAAATGTTATAATACTTTTTATACTAGTTTTTTCACGCTATTTTTTAAAGTGACTTTTAAATTTTGCTCTGCAAATAGGACAATATTTGCAGAGCAAAATTTCCTATGTCACCGTGATGTCCTATATGTCTCGCGCTACAGTAAATTATATCCAATAGACTTAAGAAGAGTTGACATTTCTACGTTTCATAAAGAAGTCCTTTAGAAAAACAAGCTGGCTTTTACGCCAAATAAGATATTCTGTATATACTGGTGCGAAGCTAATACGATATATGGCACATGTATACATACTACATCATGCGAGAAAACGGATTGTATATAGGATTTAACGTGGTGCAAAATGCACAGCATCTTCTAGGTACGACGGATTTTTTCGATTTATACGAGATATTCGTTGAAAATGTGGTCGCGATTTGCAGGAAATATACGACGCGAATATCGTCGAAACTTCAGAAACTCGGTGATCGTGAATCTGCATCATCATCATCAGCGAGAAATAGGATATTTACAAGTCTAGTAGAGTGTGTCGCAACTTGGGAGGATCGGTAAATTCGCTATAGCGCAAACATAGAAAGGCAGATATA